AAATAAAATTTTTTTATTAATATAAATTTGAATACTGCCAAGTATATTTAAAAAACTATTTAATACAGTTAACTCTCGTTAATATCAACCTATTTGGATTAGATAATTATGTTGATATATGCGAGAGCTGATAACAATAGGATTGTTTTTATAAAGCCTGAGCCTATTTGTTCTTAATAAGAGGTTAATATTAATACAAGGCTGATATCGATATTAATAGGATTGATATTAAAGGGTTAATATTAAGAATTAGCCAGGGTGGCCCCCCAAAGTACAGTTACATGATGAATCTTCACTAATCAGGAAATAATAATATGCGATTGTTGGAATATATAAGCAATTTACGATTGTTGGAGTTTAGAAACATATAGCTGCAGCTGCTGTGTTCATTATGTGACTGTACTTTGGGGGGCCGCCCTGGCTAATTCTTGTTATTAACGAAGGTTGACTATAACCTTATAATAAATTCGAATATACAATTTCGATTTTACTACGACTTGCATTAAATAAAAAAAAGTTTTATATCTGTTCTGATATCCATAATAGCTCATAAATATTAATATATCACTTTCCTTTATCATCTAATTCGTCATCAGACAATTCAGGTGAATGAATCTCACTAGTTCCTAAAACTTTTTTGACTTCAGCTAAATCATAAGACATAATACGGGGATCTCTTTTTAAATAAAGATATCTAAATGCCTCTGCACAGCGAGATATTTTCCTTAAAATATTTAGAATAAAATCAAATTATAAATAAACCAAATAAATAATTAAATTAAAAATAAATAAAATCTTTACCTCAGTTTTAAGAGTGTTTTTGTAATTTCTCTTATCAAAATGGGTAGACCAAATTTCGTCTTTTTAATTGAATTGAGACTTCTTCTTGACTTTAATTTTTGCTGCAACATATCTAATAGCTAATTTCTATTAGTATTATACCATTTCCCAAAAACTTCAAGAAGAACGAGAAGTGTATTTTTTGCTAGCCGAAGTTTTTGTTTAGCCCATTTAGCATTATAATCGAGATTATATTTATCGTCTTACTCATCTAGTAAAAGAAACATTTCTTTCTATAATAGTAAACAATATTAAAAAAAAATTTTATAATTAATTATATGTATATATATATATATATACTATATGTTTATTAATATAAATAATATACTCGAAGTGATTTTTGTCGTTCTCTATCATCATCAGCAAATTCAGAAGTAGGTCTTTGCTACGCAGCTGCTGATATTTTGCCAACCTCAGATTCAGCCCAACTTAAAACTTTTAATGAGCCGATTTCACTAGTTAAGGATTCTACAGAAGATAATAAATCATTAAGAGTATCTTTTATACTCAATATGGTATGTTCTTGTTTTCTTTGAACTGCACGAAGTTCTTCAATTTCGTTCTGCACTTGCTGATTTTCTAGAATTAAATATATATATTTTTTTAGTCTAAAAAGATGATCTATAACTTTTTTTTTTTAAAAAATAAATTTACAAGTAATAAATACCATTTTCCTTGGTTGAACTTAAAGTTAAGAGAGAAGATGTGCTTGAGGGTAAATCAGGTGATCTGGTTGGTGATAAATTAGGTGATAGAATTAGAATAGAAGATAATGGTGTGCTTTAAGATCTTTGTGGTCGGTAGATGTAGTAGTTTGCGTAAAAGGGATAGTTGTAGTTTGTCTGGAGTCATTGAATTTTGTTGATGTAGCTGAAGTGGTTGGAGTTGGTTGATTTGTTGATAGTCATGTTGTCTTTTTTGTAAATCGAGAAGAAATGGATTTTTTTGTTTTAGCCATTTTTTTTTTTTTTTTTTTTTTTTTTATGAAAGTTTCTTCCTATTTATATATATTACTATTTCAAAAATGGCAAATAAAAATTTAATTACTCGATTATCTTAGCACATCGATTAAAGGTGGATGTCCGATTTTATATGCATACTATGTAATTGTTTTAGTAAACAATTACATTGTATATATATCAGAATCCTCAGGTTTTTATAGCATCTAAAATAGCGCTATTTTTTAGCAAAATAGCCATCAACATTGTTTGTGCTAAGATACGAAATTTGCTACTTTTGCACTAAACTGATTTATATAAATAAGTAATTATATGCACATTTTAGATGATAACTAGAGAACTCACAAAGATGATAAATAAAGAACTCACTGAAAAAAATATGGTCACATTAAAATTTATATTTAACAAATATAAAGCTTTATTTGATGATACTATTGATTTTGTTTTGTATTTATCATTTTTATGTACTAGATATCATTTGAGTAATACTCAAATTGTTATTACTTACGCTTTACTTTAAATTATTAAATAGTATGTACTTTATCATTTTTGTTATGTACTAGAATCTTATTTGATAATAATACTCTTGTTATTATGCTTTATTTTAAATTATTAGATTGTATATTTTTATCATTTTTGTTATATACTATGTAGAAGATAATTTGATAATACTCAACTAATTCAGCTAATATACTGAAAATTTGGGTCTAAAAATTAATTTCTTAATGCAAGTCTAGTAATCAATAAATTACATAACCTTATTTTTATTTTGTCTTTATTCATCAATGACAATATTATTAATAGTTATACACATAGTTTAATTACATGAAAATATACCATTGTTAGAGATGGGGAAGTTTGGTTTGGTTCGAATTAGCCAGGGCGGCCCTCCAAAGTACTGGTCATATGATGAATATAGCAGCTGCAGCTATATGTTTCTAAACTTCAACAATCGTAAATTGCTTATATATTCCAACAATCGTATATTATCATTTCCTGATTGGTGAAGATTCATCATGTGACAGTACTTTGGGGGGGCCACCCTGGCTAATTCATTTGGTTTGGTTTGAAATTTGATTGATGCATGATATTAGAACGAACCAAACTTCTCTATCCCTAACCATTGTATTATGAAACTGCATGAATAGAACATCATTGTATATGAAACCATATCGTTGTATATGAAACTACATAAATTTCATTGTATATAAAACTAGCTACATAAAGGTCATAGTATATGAACTATTAATAAACTATCGATATCTATAATTGTAACTAAATTTTTAATAAAAAGCCTGATTTATTTTGAAAAAAAGACAAAATATTTCAAGTCTTATTTTAACAATAATAATTTACAATAGCTTGATTACATACTAAATTTACTCACAATGCCACGAAATCATAGTTTTAAACAAATTTTAGATTCTATTACAGATTTGGAAAGTGTAGGTTCTGATATAGCTGAAACTTCTATATCAACCCAACGAAATACTCGTATTCCTTGTCATTGTTCATCATATGCATGTAATAGTAATTAGTTTCTCGACGTACAAAAGCTCAACATGAATTAGAAGATATAATACAACAGGAAGGAGAAGAAGAAAGTGAATTATTTACAGAACAATTAGAGATTAAATTTAAGTAACAATCAAGAAATAGAAGACATTGAGGAAAATATAGAGCCATTATTTTTGCTAAGAAAAAAACGTCGCACTCATACAAGTATACAATTAAACTTACCAAACGAAGACTCGACGGATGAAGACTTGACAGATAAAAGTAGTGATGAAGAGTTTGAGGAATTAAATAACGAATTAAATGAGAAATTAGTTAACCAATTTAATAATGGATCAGGTGAAGAATCAGTTGAAGAAGTCACGGAATTAGATGAAGGATCAGCAGAAGCATCAATGGAAGAATCAGCTAATAAATGGGTTGAACAATCAGCTGAAGAATCAAATAAGCAATCAACCAAAGAAAAAATTTATAGTAATATTAATGAATTTGAGAACTATTCTGCACCGAATATTGATGGTGACGATAATCGAACTGAATTTTAACCCAACTTTAATCCACCTTTAGAATATGAATAGATTATGCTTTGTTATTGAAATTTTAAACTAGGTTCAACATATCTAAAACTGCT